TAGACAGAGGTACCACGAAGCCACTGATAGTCTCTGCCGTCTATCTTCCCTATGAAGCTCCTGACCCACCCGGCACTGTTGTATGCCGCCTATTGGAGGAGATGAGCAGAGTTGGTGATATCATCTTGGGATGTGACGCCAACGCACATCACTTCTACTGGGGAAGCAGCAACACAAACACAAGAGGTGAGTCCATCTTCGAGTTTATACTTAGCTATAATCTTAGAATTTGTAATAGAGGCAATACACCAACTTTTGTTAATAGGGTGAGAGGTGAAGTCATCGATATAACCCTCACAAATATGGACGACTCTGGGGTCGTAAACTGGGAGGTGTCTGAGAAATGTTCCTTCTCGGATCACAGACTCATATCCTTCCAGATTCCTACCTCTAGAGCTAAACAGAAACCTTATAGGAATCCTCGGAAGACGAACTGGGACAAATTCAAAGCTAAAACAGCAGCCTCTTTTCGGGATCGTAATGATCTCAAAACGGTTGAGGATGTTGAATTAGCTGTGAAAAATGTCACGGCCACTCTTCTGAAGAGCTATGAGGCATCTTGTCCTCTAACATACCCTGGGAAGAAATCTCAGCCGGTATGGTGGTCACAGGACCTTGCAACCTTGCGGAAGGCTGCAAGGAAAGCTTATAATAGAGCTAGTAAGACAAAGCTCAGTACAGATTGGGATGTCTATAAAAGACAATTCAATAGGTACAAGGGCGAAATCAAGAAAGCTAAACGTGAGTCTTGGGTCTGCTATAGTGAGTCGATCGAAGGAGTCAACGAAGCGCCCAGATTCCGCAGAGTACTCTCTAAGGATCCAAAATCCATAGGAAGTATTAAGCGAAGTGATGGAACGTGGACAAACTCTGGTAGTGAGACTCTTGATCTTCTATCATCAACCCACTTTCCTGGTTGTAAGGACTATAGGGAAGATGCGCAGTGTGTGCATCAGCCTACAGTTCGGACGAGGGAAGAGGAGAAGATGATAGAAGACACTATAAGATACCCAAAAATGATATGGCCGATAAATAGTTTTCAACCCTACAAATCTCCTGGTCCAGATGGTATAACACCGGCCATGCTGCAACACGCAGATGAACGGATAATATCATATCTGCAGGACATTTTTAGGGCTTGTTTACTTTTGTCGTACATACCCAGTCTATGGAAAGAGGTTACCGTGACCTTCATCCCGAAAGCCGGGAAGCCGAGTCATACGGTACCTAAAGACTATAGACCGATTAGTCTTTCTTCCTTTCTACTAAAAACTTTAGAAAGGTTACTAGACTCAGAAATTAGAGATACCATTGACCGTAATAAACTTAGTAAATCCCAGCATGCCTATATCAAGGGCAGATCAGTGGATACAGCTCTGCATGAGGTGGTTGGATACATCGAGAAGAATATGGAGTCCTCTGGCTACACGTTGGCAGCATTCCTCGACATCGAAGGAGCTTTCAACAATGTGAAGCTAGAGGCAATCCATTCTGCTCTCGTAGACATAGGTATCCCCTCACTCCTTACGGAATGGATTGATAGAATGCTGGAAAGCAGAATTATCAACTCATCCCTAGGAGAGAGTTCCGTGAGGAAATCTGTCAACAGAGGCACACCTCAGGGTGGAGTTCTTTCCCCCCTTTTGTGGCTTCTGGTGATAAATGAGATACTTATGAAATTCAATCATCTCAGGATAAAGGTTGTAGCCTATGCCGATGATGTAGTCTTGTTGGTTGGGGGTAAGTTTATTACGACAATATCAGACATCCTGGAGGGTGCTCTTTCAACCCTGTCAAATTGGGCTTGCACCAAAGGTCTTGGTGTAAACCCCACAAAAACCGAACTGGTACTCTTCACTAGGAAATACAAAATTCCTAGTTTCCGTCTGCCATCACTTGGTGGAGTGACATTAACCCTTTCTGATGAAGCTAAATATCTTGGCACTGTCCTAGACCGCAAGTTACTGTGGAATAGGAATGTCGAGGAACGCTCTAAGAAGGGATTGATGGCACTCTATTCATGCAAGAACTCCATAGGCAAGAGTTGGGGATTGAGACCCGGAATTATACACTGGTTGTATACGACGATTGTCTTACCCATACTTACTTATGGATGTCTTGTCTGGTGGCAGGGGGTGAATAAAAAGAAGCTGCTGACAAAACTGAGCTTAGTACAGCGATCGGCTTCAATTCTGATCACCGGAGCATTAAGAAGCACACCACAAGCAGCCTTGAATGCAATCTTGAATCTCCAACCATTGGACATTCTGATCAAATTCCAGGCTGCTAGGTGTGCCCTGAGACTCCGGGAAACAGATGCCTTGAAATCGCTGAACTATGGTCATGCCAGCATTCTAAACATAACGCCAAGTTATGACCTTTTTAGGGGGGATAGTCATATCAGTGACTATATTCCCCCCCATAGGGATTTTAATGACATTAAAGTCGAATTTCCTAACAGGGAATCCTGGACTAGTGGCTCCCTACCTCTGCCAGGTCTGTCAATCTTCACAGACGGGTCCAAGATGGAGGAAGGCACTGGCGCAGGCGTCTACTGCAGGGAATTAGGTATACGAAACTCATATAAACTCAACAATGATTGTAGCGTTTTTCAAGCAGAGATTCTTGCAATCACGAAAGCGGCCGAGATAGTAAAAGCACTTAATACAGACATTACAGGACCGGTGACTATTTACGTAGATAGTCAGGCGGCCCTGAAAGCGGTGAAGTCGCATACTATAAACTCGAAAGCAGTTCATGATTGTAAAACCGCTCTGAATGATATACGTCAAATAGTTGGGTTATGCTGGGTTCCAGGACATAACGATATTGAAGGGAATGAGATAGCCGACGAGCTTGCTCGAGGGGGGTCACAGTCGTCCAGTCTTCTGATTGAGAGATCTGTGAAACCCCCTATTAGCTATTTCATTGGCAGAATCCGCGCGTTCCATTGCGAGGTAGTCGGCAACAGATGGCTAAGGGAACCTGCATGCAGAATCTCTAAATCTATCTGGCCAGAATTCTCTCGTAAAAGAACGTCTTCGCTGCTGGATCACAACAAGAGGGAGATTAAGATCGTTGTGGGGATCATTACTGGTCACTGCAAAGTTAGATCTCTCACTTCTAAGTGGGACTCCAGTGGAGAGGATTACTGTCGTCTATGTGAGGATGAAGAAGAAGTGGAAACAATTGAGCACATCCTTTGCAAATGTCCATCGCTGATCAGCAGAAGACATAAACAGTTTGGATGTTATGAAATTGATAATCTAGTCTTCTTCTCCAAAATAGACCCTAACCTAATTCTAGGCTTTGTCAAAAAATTGACTTGGCTAAAATAATGTCTCTTCCGCTCCCACCCATTCTGACTACCTCTCTCTCTACTCTTCCACTATCTTTTCTTCTTTCTCTTTATAGGTACACCTATACATAAAGGATGATCACAATGGACATAGTTTCCGAGTGGACGGTTGTTACAACAGCCGTACATCCCTAACCTAACCTAAATGAATATCATGTATGTATGTTTTGTATATACGTAATGATTATTGTATATCTGTGATGTACTTAGCACTGTTGATCATCTCAAACAAAGAAACACAAGTTAAATTGGGGAAACAAAATGTTAGCTCTACCTACAGTAGAACCAATTAACAGCAAATAAATTACTTTCGATTTTTTTTTAGCACTGAATATATAAAACAATTTTTTTGTGCCACACAATATTCACAAAAAAAAAAAACAATTCTTGTCAGATATATTACACTTCACTTGCTGTCAATTGTAATACTTTCCACAGGCAAAAAAAGGATTATAACTAAAAATATAATTATCAAACTATACATAAAACTGCCATTTTTCAGGATTCCTTTGGATATTCAAGTTTTAACAAATTTGAGGTTCTTCTCACTTAGGCTTCACTGTATCGCAAGCATGTGGGCAATTATTGGCTTTTATTTGATTTTCGGTAACATTTGCACAATTATGGTTTCTTGAGTGATGTCGATTAACCAGACTTTCGTTAGCATTAGAAATAGTTTTTTTTTTAAATTATTAGTGTGTTGCTGGAGCAAATTTTTCTTTGCGTTCTTTTTGCAGTAATTCTCTTTTCTTATATCGATCACCGTCAATGCAAGTTCCGCACTACAAATGCTGATACGTGTACGGAGTCTGAGTGCCCAAGTCTAGTGGTTGAACTAAACCAGTATTTTCTGTTTTTGCTTTCTTATGCCTAAGCGAATCAGTAGAAGGTATTAGGTGCCAAAACTAATGAACAGAAAGAAATAACAATATGGAATTAATTCTCAAATAAAAAGAGATTAAGAAATTAAGCTGTTCATTACCTTTTGAAAGAATTGGCACCAGATTAACTGTCTGCGGGGATTTAAAGCAGAGGATTTTAGAGATATAAATGTAGTAACATTTATATCATTCTAATAAAAAGCAGACATATTTAATGAATGTAGCTAAATAAAAAAATGGATTCAGATCAACTCACCAATAAAAAAAAATTCTAGGAAATGTAGAATAAAAAAATTGGAAAATAATAATTTTTTTTTTATCAAATCTTGCTTCGGATGAAAAATATCACTTTTTTACTTTCTTCAGTGCTGGTTACAGACAAAATGGCCGAGAAGATTCAATTTTGCAAACCAAGATACCTCTTAATCTTTCCAAAAATGGTATATGGACAAAAGAATTGAAATAAATAGTTACCAAAAACCTGATACATAGCCAAAATCAAATTAAAACTTCAGATTCAGATGGCGTTGCGAAAGCTAATTTAGCCCAAAATAAAACAATGTTTCCATCAGGCGGTTGATTACCTAAAATTGAAGTCAGCTCAATAAAACTGAAAATTGTACATATTTGAAAAATCTTGTAGGAGCATATATTTCTGGCAAGCTACTCTTTACATTCCCCCCTCACAAAATCAGACTTCGGGGATGGATTTCAGACACGAGGCTGATACAGCTTGCCAATTCATGAAAACTTATTAACGTCTATTGGCGAATATCCTTAGCGTGATATGTGCCTACTAGATTGCCTTTCAGATCTTCTAGTTCATAATAATAATTGCCTATTTTCTTCCGTATACGGGCTTTTAAAAATGTTGGAGCAAGTTTGGCATTATACCCTTGCTCAAAACAGCTTTGTTTGAAATTCCGCCTGAAAACTTCCTGACCTTCCTCGTAGGTTACCTCACGAGAACGCAAATTGTACGTTTTTTCATTTCGAGCAAACTGTTTTTGTTGTACATCCAAAGCTTTTCTTGCCGCAATGTCACGAGAGTCGTTCCTATTGAACCGTACTGACCTATCCTCCAACATCTCCAACTGCCGAAGCAGGGAGTAGGTGGCACCATTCGTAATCATGTTTTGACCAAACGTGAGATAATAAGGACTAGTTCCAATACCTGAATGCACTGATGAACGCAGAGAACAACACACGCTGCTCAGAAGTTCATCCCAATTTTTATGGTCTGGGTTCACGTAGGATTTTATTGCCGCTAACACTGATCTATTGACCCGTTCCGAAGCATTGGATTGGGGAGCATGAACAGCTGTATAGACGTGCTGAATCCCATATCGCTTTAGCAACATGTTGAAACTATTGGACCTAAATTGGGAGCCATTATCTGAAACAATGGTCTCCGGGACTCCAAATGTGTGAAAGAGGTCCATTTCCAGATACTTTATAACAACGTCGGCTGTGAATTTCTTTACAGGCTGCAAAAATGGAAACTTTGAGTAATGATCAAGAACTATAAATATGCCGATATGTCCGGATTTCGACCTTGGATACGGACCAAGGAAATCTATATAGAGCTTTTGAAAAAACCTACAACTTTCTGTGGTCTTTCCCATGGGAGGTCTAAGTACCGTGTTCGGGTGCTTTGTGGATTTACAAACCTCGCACCTATTAATGTATTCCTTCACATCGACAACTAAGTTGGGCCAGTAATAATATTTCCTGATTCTAGCTAAAGTTTTGTTGATTCCACCATGCGATGAAAGGGGATGGTCGTGAGCTTTCCTTAAAACGTCAGGAATCATATCGCGAGGAATCCATAATTTCCAAACAAGGTCGTCGTGAATTTGCTCTCCTATGGCATGCTCTGTACGGCGATAAATGTAACCGTCCATAATTCTAAGATCTGGCATATTTTCGAGATTTTTTCCTATTTTGTCCAGAAGCTGCGAATATTGGTTAGACTGAAAATGACTGGATTTTAAATCCACAAACAATCCATTGTCTTCTTCTATGTCAGACAAGCCACAAAGTGCCGAAAGATCCTCCGTATTCACCCTCGAAAGAGTATCAGGGACAATGTTTAAACTACCACGTCTATGCTGTATGTTAAATCTGAACCCCTGTAGTTTTAAAGCCCATCGAGCCAGCCTTGTGCTAAGATCCGACTGGGACATGAGCCACTTTAATGACGCATGGTCAGTAATAATTGTGAACTCATGTCCTTCAACGTACGGTCTAAATTTTTTGACACTTAGCATTGCTGCTAAGCATTCTTGTTCGGTAACCGAATAATTGCGTTGGGCTTTGTTGAGTTTCTTCGACATAAAGGCGATAGGAACTTCTTCACCCTCCGCATTCTTCTGTAACAATACACTTCCTATTCCTGTCCTGCTAGCATCACAGTGTATGTAAAACGGCTGTGAAAAATTGGGGCTGTGCAGAACAGGGGCTGAACTCAGATAAGACTTTAAAACTTCAAAAGCTTTTTGCGCTTCTTCGCTCCATACAAATTTTCTCTTGCCTTGCAGCAAGTCAGTTATAGGCGTGGTAATTGAAGCATAGTCCCTGATGAACTTTCGGTACCACCCGGTCATTCCCAGGAACCTTCGGACCTGCTTCACAGATCTCGGAAGAGGAAATTCCGAGATGGCCGATACCTTCTCAGGATCAGTACGAATTACTCCTTTGCCAACCACATGACCCAAGTATTTCACTTCAGGAACGCAGAAGTAGCTTTTTCCGACATTTATTGTTAAGCCCGATTCTCGAATCTTCCTTGCTACCCTCCTTAACACTTCGAGGTGTCTACTGAAAGATTCTGATATGATCAGAAGGTCATCGAGATAGACGAACACTTCCGCCCTAAGGTCCGCCGGTATCACTTTGTCCATCAAACGGGACATCGTTTGAGGGGCATTACATAACCCGAATGGCATAACTTTAAAGTGATACAGGGGCCTACCTGGGACGGTAAATGCTGTCTTCTCCCGAGACTTCTGATCCAAAGGAATTTGCCAGAAGGCATCCTTCAGGTCAAGGCTGGTAATAAATTCCGCTTTCGGAAGTCGACTGAGAATGCCATCAATTTGAGGCAATGGATAGGCATCCCCCACCGTTACAGAATTGACCTTTCTACTGTTCAGACAAAGCCGATTTTTACCTGGTTTCCTGTGTAGAACTACAGGGGAAGACCAGGCACTGTTAGATTCTTCGATTACATCAAGCTCTATCATCTTATCTAGCTCCTCATAGATCAATTTTTCTATGGCAGGGGACACCGGAAAATGACGCTGTTTAATGGGTTTAGCATCACCCGTATCGATAGTATGACAGATAATGTTAGTTCGGCCAAGACCTTCTTTGGCGTAGGAAGGAAACAAAGCAATCACTTGATCAAGTTGCTGTTTTTGACTCTCCGAAAGATGTATCTGGACAGAAAGTTCTGATAACCCTGCTAATGAATTGACAGATCTCCGTTGCAATTCAGCTGGCAACAAATTGAATTTCTGCCAGAAATCAATACCTAGGAAAAGGTCCCTATCCAACCCTGGGATAATAAATATATTGATTGGCATTTTGTTTCCTTTAAATGTGATAACCGTTTCGACGAAACCCACCACATTTTGCCCCTTGCCATCCGCAGTACGAACTGTTGACTGGAACTTTTTATATGGCAATTTAGAATCTAGAATCTTTTTAGCTGCATTAGAGCCCACACAACTAACTGAAGCTCCGGTATCGAGGAGTCCTAGCATTTTATCCCCAAATAACTCAACTTCCGCGTAGGGTCGCACGTCAGATGGGTTATCTAAAAGGGAACAAACCAGATTCTTCTTAAATGTTTTTACCTTGTTCCAAAAAGATTTCATTCTGCGAGATGATCTTGTATTTTTCTTAGGCTGATTTTCGCTAAAAATTCGTTCCCTGGCAATAATGTATTCCTTTACACGAATATGTAGAGGTTTAAAACTAAAATGGGTTTGGTCCTTTACCATCAGTGTATCTGATGAAGCCGACAAATTATATGGATTTTTGAAATCATCAGTAGTGGATTTTGAATGTGTCTGGTTCTGAATTTTATGGTCTTGTGCGGATATAAAAGGTCTATTAAGTATTATTACTCCAGATCTGTCGATCTGTGTGGACTGTTTGCAATCTTCGGTGCAATCCCCCTGGAGTTTTTTGAACCACACCTAGGACAGTTGGGTTTGTATGTGTCGGGAGCACCGCATCCGTAACAAAAGATTGTGCGTTCCGAAAGGCACTCTTGATAACGGTGTCCATTCTTTTTACAATTCCAACATACTAATGATAAAGCTGATATTTCATCAGGTGGCAGAATCGGTTGCTCCATAACCTCCTTCTCATCCATATCTATCTCAGAAACCCGTTTCCCCAAAGGCATTGGCTTTGCTGTTGCAAACCCATGCCTCCTACGCATGTCCTGCATAAAGAATTCCCGTCTTCTACAGAGGTCTCTCAAACTTTGTAGAGACTTTACCTCTATGTTGAGAAGTTCATGCTGAATCTCAGGGAGTAGATTTCTGCGCAGTATTTCCACCAATGTATTATCGGAAAGAGGCATTTTAAGACGATCGGTTAGAGCCACAATTGAATCATAGAAGTTGTCAAAAGATTCTGTGGGTTTCTGCTTTCGATCTCTTATTAACTCCCGTATGTCAACGTCCGTACGAGAGTCTTGGTACCGCTCTCTTAGAGCACTACACAAATCATTCCACCTTATAGAATTTGCCGAACGATGGTACCGCCAAAACCAGTCATTGGCCTTTCCATCGAATAAGGAACTAGCATTCCCACACAATAAATCAAAATTTCCCTGAAGGGTCAGTGCTGTCAAAACTTCGGTTCTATATATATGAAATTTTCAACTGATAAGCCGTTCAAACCACCATTGAACTTCAGTTTCCAATTTGACATGATTTGTAAAACTTTATCTGGGCGCGCCTGAAGGTCCGATGAAGCGTTGGTACCATATCCTGACATATTCAATCCCTGATTGTGAGAACTTACAGGTGGTCTATTTGGAGCTGCATTGTTTTGCTCATTGTGAGGTGTAATACCAAATAGTTCCCTGAACGTTCGGTCTTCCACCGCAGAAAGCGTCTGCATCTGTTGAGGGGAGGTGACGTTTTGTTGAGGTGGATTGCGAGGAGAAACATTGGACATAAGCCTTGACATACCAGCTGATATATTTTGTTCAATCAACTGTGTCATTTGGGCACTAAATGCAGTGAACTGAGCGGAAACAATATTAGTAACCATCTCCTGAATGTTGTCGCTAGATATGGGATCGGAACGATCATTATTTTGGGACACATTAGCAGCACCTTGAACGGTATTCGCTGTGTCAGATGTGGCAGAGTTAGTTGTATTCTTCGCTTGCGATCTTGTCCTGACTTGTGAAGTGCTTGGAGTCTGAATTTCTATGGAAATTCTCGTATTACAGATCGGACAATATGGTCTCGATGTTATACATACATCTAAACATGCCTTGTGAAAAACGTGACCGCAAGCTACCTTCTGTAACACCGATGTAGATGCAATAGGCTCACCACATGCATTACAAGTTGGCAGACGACCACTTTCAGAAGTGGCAGATAAATTTGCAGGATTAGTAGCCATTATGTATTAGTATGGGTCTAACAAAGCGAAATAAAAATGTAGAGTTTCTCTTTTGACTACGTAAACATGTGCAATATGAATACCCTCAAATTGAAAAAATCCTCACACTGCTTTCTATGAAAATATACAAAAATAAAATTTTCCAAGAAGTACCAATCGAAGGCAAGAGTATCTCCTGTTGAACAGAAAGCTATATAATTCATATGATGTTTACTTTTCCATAAATTAATGAGAAAAATCAAAAATATATATTTTCCATTTTTCTTACAACCATGATAAAAAGTATCATCAGTTCCAAAATAGGGCTTTGTTTATATAAAAATATAAGAAAGTTATAAAAACTTGTATTACGATATGAAGGACTAATATTATGGATCCAGTGGATTCAAAATTTTAAAAGATGAAGATAAGAACCAATTTGTATTTGGCTTTGTTCTTCTGAAAGCGATTACGGTTTTTGTTTATATTTTCTTCTAAGTTAAACTAAATTAATTTAAAAAAAATATATATAAAGGAAATATTTAGTGAAGTATTGGGAAATCCAACACACTCCTTCTAATTGTTGACAAATAATTTTTTTTCTGTTCGTTACCAAAGCTTTCAGGTAGGTTAGTTACTGCATACAAAAACATCAATGAAATAGAAAATATAAAAGTGAGGCAATAAAAGAAAATAATAGTTACAAGTCGGATTGGAAGCAACGCTT